GTGCTGTGACTAGAATACAGCAGACTTGATTTTGTGGGTGTTCTGAGGCCAGGTCCCCAAAAGCCTTTCAGCTTCCTCTCTTCCTCTCTCACTGCCCTGAGCCTACTAGGGAAAGAAGACTTGGCCGACCTTATGGAGGACAAGAGGCTCTGTGCAGGGACAGTCCCAACTGATGGCCAACTAGCTTTTCTTAAATTAATTTTTTATTTATATTTACATATATATGTCTTTTTTATTGAGGTACATACAATAAAGCACACAAACCTTGGTGTACAGCTTGATGAATTTTGACATGTGTATGCACACTCATATAACCATCAAACCCAGATCAAGATATCAAACAACCCCTTCCCTATGGTCCCCACCAGTCCATTCTCTGCGTTTATGAGCCTATTTCTGTTACAGACCAACTATCTGGGGTCATTCATCCCCAGCCAAGCCACCATATGACCACCACCTCATGAATGGACCCAAATGAGACCAGCAGAACTGCTCAACTGATCAGAGCCAAATAGCTAACCCACATCATCATGAGCAAATAAAACGGCTGTTGCTTTATGCCACTAAGTTATACAGCAGTAGGTAACCGGGGCACACATCCCATTCAGAGTCGCTGGTAAGTGAATCATATCAATGATTCCTGTACTGTAATAAAAAGGGCATCTCTGACAAAACAGGGGGAACTAATACCCAAACTACAAAATGTGTGAAGGGGGTGCCCACAGCAACAGAGATGAGGAGTCAGGGCAGGTGTCTGTGAGCAAGAGTAAAACCATGTTGACAAATCCACTATGATAACCACTGACTCCCCTTCCCCCTTCCCCATATCTTGTATGTACTGCAAACAGGGAGCATTCCTCAATAAGATCTTAGGATGAGGTTAAAAGCAGGAGTCAGCTCCCGCTTTGACTAAACACACAGATGGTCCCCTGCACATAGACTCTTTCTCCTTCCACATATTAGTCTCCTAAACACAAAGCCGTGCAGAGGTTTACGCATCCTGCAGCCGCCGAGGACAAGCTTCTGTAGATAAATTCCCTCAATAAACCTCTCTGAATGCAGGTTGGACTTGGCAGCCTCTTTCTTTGGTCTCACAGCCCCCTTGGCCTTCGGGGCTCGATTTGCTGATACCTCTCCCAAGTGGAACAGGGAGGTGAGTGAAGATGGAAGCCTGCAGCCTGGATCTCAGGCAGAGCCAACAAACAGCAGGCCCAAAGGCGAGAGGCCTGTCACTGTAACAGAAAAGCCTCAGGTGTGACCAAGGTGGAGAGTGCTGAGGCCAAGCAAAGGGCGAGGTCACAGGCGGAGCAAGGTCAGGGCGTGGGAAGGGTCATCTATATGGACACGGAACACGTCCAGAATTATGGCCGCAGTGGTGTCAGAGAGGGCAGTCAGTCAGGGGCTAAACTCTTCAAGGAATGAGAAGGAGTGCCCAGGGGTCAGTAGATGTCCGCCACAGCAGTGTTGTTCAACACCACATAATTTAAAGCTGGGAGTTTTGAGGGAAGAGGGAAGAGCACATTCTAGAAGTGCAGCAAGGAGGTCACCTAACCCCACCTCCTGGCCCAGCGGCAGGAGGAATAAGGGAGAGAAGACAGCCACCACTTGAGCTGTGGCGGGGGCAGCCTTGTCCTTGGGAGAGCCAGCTTCCCAGGAGAGCTACAAGGTGAAGGAACTGCTCACAGAAGACAAAGAAAGGACAAACCCTGGGGCCCTTCCCACGTCTGAGCTTGGGGTACTTCTTGGAGGGTTTCAGTGGTTAGCAGGTGGGAGACAGGATGAGAGGAGGGGAAGCAGGGCCAGATGGGGATTAGATTTAGGGAGGTGGCTGACTAGGGACCTAAACAGGGATAAAGTGTGTAAGGAGATTAGTCCTGGCGGCTGCAGCAGAGTAGTGGTTGAGTGGCTGGCAAGGCTGTCAGAGAGAAAAGCAGGGCACAGAGAAGTGTATATAAACACAATGCAGCAACAGCCCTGTGGATGCAGAGGTGGGGAGTCTTGCCAGGTGTATGCAGTAATCCGGGCCACCCACCCTCCAAGTCTGCCAAGGACATGGGGAAGATGGGCTTTTCCAGAACTCTGACACCTGCCAATACTTTTCCAAGAATAGTCAAGAAATGTTGAAAAGTTCAGTGAAGCAGAAGAAAACACAAAAACAGATCCCAATATAGATTTGATTTCATATATAACAATGGTGGAATTCCAACTCAGTGAGAAAAGAATGGCACTTTATTTAGTAGGTGCTGCTGACTCGACTGGCTATCCCTCCAGGAAGAAAATAAGGCATACTCTCACCACAGCCAACTAAAACATAAATTTCAGATGGTGTAAAAGCATGAATGTACACAACACTCAGAATATACAAATACCTATTCCAAAAGCCCTTTTAAACCAGCCCAGAAAGCCAGAAGCTATAAGCAAAAAAGAAGACACATTTAATTATGTAAAATTGTAAATTGTGGCAAAAGATCGTTTAACCAAAGTCAAAAGGGAATTAATAGAATAGGAAACCATCTGAAAGCCATGCAAGAATTGAAATCTTGTGAGAGACAATTTAATATCTACATTATACAAAGAGCTCCTACAAACCAGTAAGTAAAAGACAACCCACTGGGAAAAAGGAAAAGGATATAAATACATAATTCACCGAAGAACAAATCCAAGTGTCTAGTAAGCATATGAAAAGATGCTTAGTCTCACTAATTTAAATTAAATTAATTTATGTGTCTGAGTACACACATACACACACACACACACACATAAATATATACCATATGCCATATTGAAGGACTGGAAAACAAACTTTCTGGGCATAAACTTCCAGTTATAAGAGGATCTAATATACAGAATGGTGCTTATAGCTAATAATACTGTATTACATATTTTGAAAGTTGCTAAGAGAGTAGATCTTAAATATTCTCACCGCACACACAAAAAAATGATTATTATGTGATCAGATGTGATTAGCTAATCTCTGGTGGTAATCATTTTGCAATATATAAGTGCATCAAGTCAACATGTTATATACCTTATATGTCAATTATATCTCAATAAAGCTGGGGAGGAAAGAAATTACTTTAGGTCCCCCCATCTTACATATTCTCTTCCCAATAGCTGCATCCTTAAAAAAAAATAAAGAATTGGAAGATTCAGTGTTGAATCACGCATTGATCTATAGATTCAATGAATCAAATGAAAATCCTTATAGGGTTGTTGGGTTTTTTTTTGATAGAATATGACAGGTTGACTCTAAAATACATATGGAAATGAAAGGGCCAATAATAGCTTCCTGAAGAGGAATAATATGGAAATACTGCCCTAGTAAATACCAAGACTTTTTATAAAAGTACAGTGATTAGGAAAGGGTGATATTTGTGCAGGGATAGACAGCCTGAGGAAAAGACTAGAAACTAATGTCAACATAGACACTTGGCTAGTGATTTATGTGGCACTGAAGAGCAAGGGAAGAGGAGCCTTTCCAATAAGCAGATTGAGTGTTCACATGGGGAAAAAACAAAACTTGACCCTTATCTCATACCATAAACAAATAAACCCCAGGTAGGCTGTCATCCTAAATTTGGAAGGCAAATAGCTTTGTATGTTTACAGATGGCAACTACACATTATGATGAGCATGTAGTAATGTATATAATTGAGTCACTATCTTGTACAACTGAAGCCTATATAACTTATATGCCAACTATATTCAATGAAAATAAGTAAATTTTTGAAAATAAATAAATATGGAGGGCAGAACCACAGAGATTATAAAAGATTATAGAGGGTGACAGAAAATATGGAGAATGAACTCCTCAGGGTAGTGAAAGATTTCTTTTCATGACACAAAAACACCAACAACCTTCATTAAAATTAATAAACGATTCCATTGAAACGACATTCTAAAACAGGCAAAACTACACCATAGTGTTTAGGGAAGTGTTAGTTTGCGAACTGACCCTTGTGCACAGAAAGCAAGGGAAGACTGAAGAAAGAGGCGGGCCACTCCAGATTGGTAGGTGACAGGTTTGATAAGAAAGGGACTTACTTTTGAGGCTTGTCTTGGGTGGCTGCAGGATGAGTAGATCTCCACACCCACCTGCAAGAATTTTAAAAGCTTATATAGAAGGCTTAATTCGGTTCAGTCGTGTACGCCATCCAGATGGTCTCAGCAACACCTACTCTCTCAAGGCTGTGCCCTTGGAACAGCTACGGCTGTGGGGACAGTAGGCAGGGAGAAGACTGCAAGGGCAGGGGAGGGGTGAGGAGCCTCTGATTGCCCAAGTCCAGCTTGAGGGTCAGCCAGGAGTCACATGCTCTCGATTAGGTCCTCCAGCAGGAAGCATCCCCACGCTGAAGATGACCATGGAAAGCAGGGGAGTGATCGCCATAGAAGGCAGGGTGGTGGCAGCCCGTGAACGGCAGGAGGGGGCTGAGGCCTTTAGAGACCAACAAGTGTTTTATTTCTTGAGATAGATGAGGCTGAGACAGGGACCATGGGCTTAGACAGAGTAGGGTGAGGGCCTCTGGAAAAAAACAAAGCAAGATAACCATTGTGAGATTTGCTTTGGCTTGCTGGGGGTGCCCAGCTTATTTTTCTAACTTTACCCAAGTGGTCACCATATATTTAGATCCTTGCTCCCAGTGTAGCTCAAAGTCACTTCCCATGTGTTCTCCCCAATCAAATTGTAAGCCTTTAGGCTAGGCACACATGGGGTCTCAATAAATACTTAACAACCATACGCTCTACATTTGTACATTCCATTATCATCGGTTTCATGTCCATTTTCTCATTTGCTCTTGTGGGGAGAGCAGAGGTCACTGTATCCATTATGTAGATATGAAGTCTCAGGCTAGGAGGGGGATGACCTCTCCCACTTAATGGTAAAGCTAGGCCTTCAATCCATGTTCCCTGACTTCTGGACCAAGGTTCTTCCCATAGTAAGTAAGAGGGAGGCAGAAAGAGGGGGGCAGAGAGAGGGGAGCAGGGAGAGGGAGACCCACATCCCTGTCCTGTGGAGGAAGCTGCTGCAGGAGGCTCTGAAGCCCAGGCCATTTGGAGGCTTGGCTGGTGTCAACGTCCAGAACTTCAGGATCCTGAGGAGACACAGCAGAAGGAGACGAACAGAGCTAAGTTTCTCTTGCCTTCCTCTTCTTTCCTCCCCTCATCACTGCCAACCCCCTCTATTTAGAGGATCCTCCTTCAAGATACCAAGGACAACAGATCCACCCCTACATTTGTGGTCTGATTGAGGCAGATGGGAAGCCCCACACCCCAACATAGATTCCCTTCTTATGCTCGAAAACACCCCTCCTCCACCGCGACACACACACACACACACACACACACACACTCTCTCTCTCTCTCTCTCCTTAGGGCCAAACCCTGAGGGTCTGCTTTGACAACACAGATCCCACACACAGATCCCCTAGTAGAGGTCATGTGTAATCATGTGAGTAAGTTTAAAGTCAAACCCCCACATCCTGAGGGGGCTGTAGGGACAGGGATTCCCTCAAAGAGAAAAGAGCTTCAAGAGGTCAGATACAAGGCGAACTACCTCCAGGATGGTTGAAATGGGAGGAGGTCCAAAGGATGGACAGCATGTTGGTCTCAGAGGGAAGGGCAGGACTCCTACCACCTGAGCAGCGGTGTCCTCAGGGTCTTCCTCTGGCGGGGGTCCTGGATTGCTGTCTGAATTGGCTGGTGGACGTGGCTCCCCAGGGGTGTGGCTCTCCCCTCCACGGGGCCAGCCAGAGTTCAGTACTGACATTGGTCGCAAAGTCTACCCAGAAAACAACAAGAACACCTCCCACCAACTGGGCCTTTACAATGGGCTAGGGAGTGCTAAGTGCTTTACAAGTATTACCTACTTCAGTCCTCCCAACACCCAGCTAAGTTAGGTGGTAGTCTTGTCCCCGTTTTACAGATGGCCAAACTGAGGCTTGGTGAGCTAAGCCAAATCCCAGATGCCACAGATCCCACAGCTAGTTAGTGGATGGACCTGATCTTGAGGCTGGGCCTTTCAGCTTCAGAGTTTCTGAAGCTCAAACTCTGGGGTCTCCCAAGTTTGGGTTGGAGGAAAGAGGAGGCCTATGGTGGAAGGAAAGGGCATTTTGCTTTTCTGGTGAGTTTTTCAGCAGACTGGCCTTCTTTCCCACTTCCCCAGCCTTAATGCTACCATTCTTCATTGGGTACTCAGCACCCCAGTGAGCCTGCTTCTCTGCTTTTCTAGCTATAGGCTTGGGTCAAGCAAAAGGACCACTACACCAGGAAGCCCTCACTCTCTCAAGCTCATACCAGCTCTCCGTTCCCTGAGCTCTAAAAGCAAGTACAATCCATGCCCTTGGATTTAGCACCTCATGTTCCTCTCTGCTCCCTCTGTCTCCCCCAGCTCCTCATCTAGTCTATAAGCTCCTCTAGGATAGAGGAAAATCATGAGCTTCTATCTTCTATTTATGGCAGCAATGTCATTGGATAATTCTAAGTGCATCTCTTTGGCCCTCCTCTGGCCAAGCCTGGGTGCGACCACAATATCTTGGTGGAGAGGTGGCTACTGAAGTCTAAAATGGGTAGGACTTGCCCTCAAGGAGATCATTATCTAGTGGATAGGACAGATGAAAAAGGCAAAATGGGACCAGAACTCTGGGCAGGTATACACAGCACCTTAGGAAGAAAAATAACCACAGCAAACCTTTCTAAGTTTACTTTGCACCAGAGACAATTCTAGTATTTCACATAGTGTGACACATCCTCATAACAATACTATGGGGGGAGTTTCTATTTTCCCATTTTTAGGTTGACACAGACAGGTTAATTAACTTGCCCAAGGTCACATTAGAAAGCTAAGGGAAGCTTTAGGAGGTTGCCTTTGAGAGCTGGAATGGCTTCTGATGGCATCTGGGCATTGGAGGGCCATGACAAACTCCTTTTTCTCTAAAAGACCCAGCTTTGGGGTTGGGGACAGGATTTGGACTATAACAGTTACATTGCTTCCCAGCTCTGAGCACCCCTAAGCCCCCCTTCAGATGTCCTGTGCCACCTTCGCTGCTTCCTGGTTCCACACCCATCTGCTTCCTTCCTGCTCTGTCCCTCAGTCAGGTTTCCTGTGGAAGACAGCCAGGATGGGTTGTTCACACTCAGGGCCAGGAGTAACCACTGCCCTTAACAGCACTGCCCCTGCGCCAGGCAGCATGAGGTGCTTGGGAGAGGAGGTGAGCACAGAAAGAAGTGCATCTGAGGCCCCAGAAGGGGACTTGCACACTCTCTTCCAGGTTAGTTCGAGTTTGCATGAAATTGTCCCACACAGAAACAACACTCCGAAATCGGCTCTCACATCTCACCATTCCATCCTTGCCAGGGTCGCCTAACTCCACCTCTCCTTAGCACTGGACCCCACCTTACTACATGCTGGATTCCTTCTAGAATCCCAGCACATACACCCGCAAAAATAAAATAAGGGACTCTCTCCCGCGCTGGCACAGGTGCAACCGGGCTCGACCTTCTCAACCCACCCTGGCCCTGAAGGGCCCTAGTGACTGAGGAGGGAAAGGGGTGGGAAGATTTTCAGGACAGTGAGAGGGAGAAGGGGATAAGTGTCTGGCCTCAAGTGCCCTGTCGATAAATCCCCAAAGTTTCTGCTTAGACTCCGTGGGGCACACTCCCGAGGCGGGACGTGGTGTGCTTCCCGGGTCTGCTGGGGTTCCCAGTGTGGCTGTAGGGAATTTAGAGGCGGGGGGGCAGGACTCGGTTGGGGTCTCACCCTCGCTGCGCGCCGGTGCCGGGCGGTTCAGGACAGACCCCACCTTCAGGCCCCTCTCCCAGTCCCCACCCCGAGACCTCAGCGCCCGCCCCTGCCCGTTCTGGGAGCACGGCTCTTCCTCTCCCACGCCCCCCGCGGCCCCTGCCCGCCCCTGCGGGGCTGGTAGCGCGCGACAGCTCGGGGAGGGGCCTGGAGCTGCAGCCTGCAGGAAAGCATTTGTGGGATCACGGGGTGGAAAGGATGCAGACTTCACAGCCCCCGCACTCCCCTGGGCTTAGCGCTGGGACCACGTGCCCCACCCCTGCACACACACCCCCGGGCGCTAGCCGACACCCGGGAGGAGCCGTGATGCCGAGTCCACAACCACTCGCAGAACGGAAAAACCTTCGGAGCCTTCAAGTCCCTCGAGACCCGCCCTCTGGCCTCCTAGCCCCACCCCTCGATGAGTCCCCATCCCCCGACGATTCCCTCCCCCTGGTCCCTCGTCCCTTTCCAGGATCACTTGTCTGCCCCTCTCCCATTCATCCCTTCAGATTCCTCCCTCATGATTTGTGTTTCTGCCGGATCACGTCCCTTTTCTGATCCGGGGAGTAGAAATCTCCGGTCCCATGTCTGGTTCCCTCAGCCCCGCCCCCGCCCCTGGCTCCGCCCCGCCCCCGCCAGGCTCGTTCAGCGGGGGCTAGGAGCGCCCTCTGGTGTTTGCGCATGCTCCCTGCTCCCGACTGCAAAGTCCTCCAAAGGGACCTTCTAGGCTGCGCGGCGGTCGCCCCATCTGTCGGCCCGCCCGCAGCGTCTCGTTGGTGCTGCTGGTGACCTCCGACCCCGCGGTGGCGGGCGGGGCGGTATTATCTCCTGGTGGGCGGTGGCTGTTGCAGCGGGACCCGGGAGCGGGGCCCGGCGCTGCCTGGGCCGCGGGGCGATGTGAGTCGGGGCGCCGCGGGGCGGGAACGAGGCGGCTCCACCGAGGCCGCGCCGCAGTCTCCGTTCCTACCCGGGGAAGCCCGGGGCGGGCGGGTGGTGGAGCGCCGGGATTGGGGGCGGGGATCGAGGGACGACGCGCGGCCCCGACCCCTGCATTCCTTCCTGGTGTCTAGAAATTCCCCTGACAACCCTGCATCCTCAATCTGCCTCTCATACCTCAGAATTATCCCACCCCCAGCCCCCTGGACACACTTTCGCAGGTCCTGGAACCCTCAGAGCCCCCTCACTCATGCGATTTCCCCTGGTAGGCCCACGGAGCCACCGTTCGCTCCTGGATGCCCCCAAACGCTTTCACCTCCCTGAAATTCCTCCGATTTTTCTCCTTGCACCGTGCTCAAATCCAAGAAACTTGCCCAGGCTTCCCGAGCCCTCATACATTTTGAGCCCCCCGCAAACTCCAGCCTCCTAATCACACCTAACCCAGATCAGAGCCCCCTCCTCCTGTCCCACCCAATGTAAACCCCCTCATTAGGCTGTCATGATATGTCCTGCTATCTTAAAGAATGGAGACAGAAAAAGGTGCAAGGTGCTTTCCTCCATCTTGCACCCTGTAGTTCTTGGTTTTACCCCCAGCCAGACTCCCTGTTGGAGACTCAAGCCCCCAGATTTTCCCAGCCATCTGTCTTTAGGATGTGCACACCTCCCTCAGCCTGCTTCCTCCTTCCAGAGAATAAGCTGAACCAAGAGGGTGGGGGTCCTTTCATATGGGAAGTTGTCACAGGATGCAGAGCACAAGGGGCCCTGGGAAATGATGTTTTTCTAGAGCAGGATAGTGGGATTTCAAGGATCTCCAGGGTCCTGGCTTGTCAGCTTGTCCTCCTAGGACACAGATCCTAGGAGGTGTATTACTAGCATTTATGTTAAAATTTAGGCCTTTTAGAGCTTGGTGAATAAAACTACCATGCTTCAGAACATGAGATTGAAGGAGCTTGTCCTGGAAGAGGAAAAATGTTGATTTTAGTGATATTGTCTACATACTTACCTCTAGAGGTTAAGCTAGAAGTTACACAGTTCACAGATGTTTCCTTTAAAAACTAAGGCCTTGCTGGGTAAGTTGAGGGGGTGGGGACTGACTTGGCAGAGTCTCCTGAATACTTAGTAGCAACAAAACAGACAAGAATATTGGTTTCCTGAATCTTACATGCATTTAGGGATACATCACAGTGTCCTTTTGAGAAAGCTCTTTGAAGAGTTAAAGTTCTCAGCAAAGGGAAGGTGGTGATTCCGGTGTTGGTTTTAACAGGATTCAGATGGAATCTAGATGCAATTTAAAAGGTCTTGGGTTGCCTCGGACTTCAGACCCATTGATGCCAAGGGAGTCTCTCCCTCTCAGGGGCTATGGGGCTTGGAGTGTGTAGTCCCTTTGCCATGATCTCACTTTCTCCATTGGTCTTTCTGTCCCATTAGGACTTGGAACAGATATCCAGGTGAGAAGGACTAACAGCAAGTCAGTTTCATTAACAATTGGGGGTGAGGATAGAAGGTTTCCACTAACCTGTGGTCTCTGTCTCCTGTCCTAGGTGAACCCCAGATGTGTCCCAGAGGATCCAGGTGACTGCAGACTGCTTGCCATGATGCCCCACCAAGAACGGGGGGAATAAAGTGGGGGTCCTTCCCCATGCCCCTCCCATGGTCAGCTCCCCAATGGCCTGGGTGAGGTGAGAGCTGTGTATAGGAGCCACTTTTCTGGAGTTTCCCAAGTTGGTCAGGCTTGTTCAAGCCTTTTCACATTCAGTGAGAGTTCTGGAAGGATATATCTAATCTTACCGATTCACTTCTTACAGCAAGTTGCAACCTCTTAACTTCTGGTTGGGAAAGGTCCATGTATTTGCTTGCTCCCTTAAGTCACTCAAGTCTGGTGGTACCCTCTCATCCTAGGCACAGGCCCAAATTGTGACATGTAATCTGAGTGCTATAATCCTAGAGGGAAAAACCATGTAGTAAGCCCTCTCTGCTCTCCTCTTTGGACAAAGTGGAGCAAATCTGCCATCTTTTTTTTTTTAATGAAGAAATAACTAATTAAGGTTATGAAAATTGTGCTGTCTTCTAAATGTTCAATCTTCTGAATAGATCTTTTGACCATAATGAACCCCCGTAATGTAACATGGAAAGAATATCAAAAAGATAACTTTGAGGTGAATGTTGGGATAGTGGCGAGGGAGAAAAAAAGGATTTGAATGATGTGGGAAGGGTGAGGCAGAAAAGGAGGAAAAGGGAGAAAGGTACAGACCCAAGTGTCTGGGACCCCGAGGTTCACTTTGTTTGCTGAATCTGTATGAGGGCCCCAGGCTGGCCAGTTCTTTTGATGCAGATCACTTCTGGGTCCCTTAGCTTTTCCTGCCCAGGTTTCCCTTCCCTTTCAGTACATAACTCAAATTCCTACATATTGCTCAAGATTAGCTGTTACCTCTGAGAAGCACTCCATCTCCCCACCCCTTAGGGTGTATTAGGATCCTTAACACATCCTAACTTGAATTAATGTTTATCCAATGTGTGTCTGGCCTGGGTTGAGAGTAGGAATTCCTTGACCGAGTGACTGTGTCATAAAGTCCCTTGGACAGAGTAGGTGATCACAGCAAGGTGGTTCTGCCAGAGTTCTCCAAAAAGGGCTCTTTGGAGCTGACCCTGATGACCTTCTTATCCCTTATGTTGTTCTCTAGGGCGGGCTGGCTGCTCTGACACCATGGGGAGCTGCTGCAGCTGCCTGAACAGAGATAGCGTCCCAGACAACCACCCTACCAAGTTCAAGGTACACACAGCCCCGTCCTGTTCTGAGTTCCCGACATGACCTCCTGGGCTCAGTTGCCAAGTTGCCTCAGCCTCCCTAGAGAAGGTGAAATGACAGGCCAAGGTTGAGGCTTTATTAAGACTTCCTGAGTTCAGGGCTCCTGAAGTGGCCTGGGGACTCGGGGCGTAGGCCACCTCTATTTCTGTGGCTCTTGGTACTCCCAAGAATGAAGAAATGCCATAACAATAGTGAAAATCATGCTTTTAGAACATTCACTCCTATTGGTATAAATTTATGACTTCACATACATTTTTGGAAAAAACAGTGGGCATCTGTATTTGTGAGTTAACATACGTAAAATATTTAAAACAGTGCTTAACATGTGTAAACACTATGTTAGTGTTAGCTGTTTCCTTTGGGAAGCTAAGGCCAGGCCCAGTGGACCTGTGCATCCCTCACGTCCCCTTAAGGGAGCCCTCTCCTCCGCGGCACAACGTTCTGCTCACCACAAGAGGGAGCCGTTGGCTCGCTCCTACAGCTTGGGAAGCTGGTGGAGGTGGTGTAGGTTTCTTCTGCCTGGGGCTTTACTCTCCCAGGATCTTAAGATTTTGAACTTAAGATCAAACCCTTTCCCACATTAACATCTAACCGTCTGACCTTGGAAGTCAACTAAGCACCCCTTCCCTCACTGTCCAAATGACAAAACTGAGGCCCAGAGAACTGCTGTGGGTCAGTGGAACTGCTTCATTAGCTTCTAGTGATCACGTGATATTCTGTAGTGTGTTTGGTGGACTCAGGTGAACCTCCTGGTCCCCCAGCTCCAGCGCTGCATCGGCCGGCTTCCCAGTGGCTCAGGGGCCCCTCCAGACACTTGTTGGACTCACTGATGCTCTGTCCCCTGCCCCCCAGGTGACAAATGTGGATGATGAGGGGGTGGAGCTGGGCTCTGGAGTGATGGAGCTGACTCAGAGCGAGCTGGTGCTGCACCTGCATCGGCGCCAGGCTGTCCGCTGGCCTTACCTCTGCCTGCGGCGCTATGGCTACGACTCCAACCTCTTCTCCTTTGAGAGTGGCCGCCGGTGTCAGACGGGCCAGGGTGAGTCCCAGCCCCTACCCCACACCAGGATAGAGCCTGTGCATCTGGGCCAGGTTCTGGTGCTGGAAGTCATAGCTTGGGACCATGAGAAGTCTGGTGCCTCTGCGGGTGTTGCCCAGAGAAGGGTAGGGTCATGGCCAAGAGCACATGGCATGTTAGTGCAGAACTAAGGGGACTCCCGGGCCAGTGCTCTTTCTCTTCAGTAATTGCAACCCTGGCCTGGGTCGCTTTGTGGGGACATTTGTTGCAGAGCCCAAAGGAAAAAGCCGGGACTTAC